CGAGCTAGCCTAATCCCGCTACAAAACGTTCCATTCCAAACTACCAAATTACCTAATAATCCCAACAGAAGACTGAAGCGTCGGTGGCCCCGCGACAACCTTAACAGTTGACATCGGTCTCCTACGACGGAGTACATCTCGTTCATCGTATTGATTTACTAACGGCTACCATCACTGGATGGTAACTGTTCAAGCTTTCATGCTACCGTTAATATGTTTATATGTAAATGTTATCTATTTTACTTATTGCGTCGAAAAATGCAGTTGTAAAAAAACAAATAAAAAGTTTAAAAAAACTTCTCTATTATACGTACTATTTTCTGGTATAACAGAATTTCTCGGACAAAGTGTACGTCACTAGAAGAAGTGTGAAATATTGTCTTATATTACAGGATTGAAATGACAAGCAAGAGTAGTCCCATGTAGACTCAGTACATGCTGGTGGAAAAATCTCAAGACAATGAGTGAAAATTAGGTCATAATAAGAAAAGTTAATAGATAATATGATCAACAACGATCGTTGAAGAACCATGGTACTCTAAAAAGTGACGTTAGATAAGTAAAATGTGAAGATTTCCAACTGATTGTCATCAGGTAGTTATGAGCTAGGAAATGATGCCAATTTGGCCAAGAAATCTTTATAGTCAAAAAATCAGAGGTCAAAACAGATCGATAGCATAATAAAAACTTTAAACGTTCTTTTTTGTGAACCCTCGGGCGGTGTTCCTGTACATTCGACAGTTTTGAGCGTAGACTGGGGCACGTTCTTTTGGTGTGTGGGAGTGTGTAAATTTGAGCCGGATCCTCCCTTCGACTGGTAATTATTGGGCCGTGCTTCCTTCTGTTCAGAGGTCGGGGGAGAATGCAGAGGGCTATGAATTCAATTTATCCGGACAGAAGTGCCTTTCAGCGGCAGGCATTGTGGTACAAGAGCCACGAAACGAATTCGGTATAATTGTCCGCCCCTGGCTGTTTGAGGGGCCTTTTCCACCTAGGGAAAGGATGTGTGTTCTCCGGCCCGATCTTGCACTTCACGTCCCTCTTTAATTATATTAAACTCACCCTCTTTTGCACATGACAACCCCTGGGCCTTCTTTATATTTTCATACTTTTATTAACCGTGAGTATTCATTGAATTACAAATATATATAAACGGAATGCGGAAAAGATCGATAAATTAAGAGAGAAGAAAAGTAGAAGAGAGGCAGGGAGAGAGAGAGAGAGAGAGAGAGAGAGAGAGAGAGAGGGAGAGAGAGAGAGAGAGATGATAGATAAATAAGGGGAAATATGAAAGGGGGGAATATTGAGGTAGATAGAAGAAGGAATGAGTATGCATATGCAATTGGGGTAAGTCTCTCTAAGTTAGTCTGTCGTTCTCGCTTCATTGACATTAAGTCAATAAACCATTCGGTGAAGTTTCATTTATAAAAAATCCTGTTAAACTGAAACAAAGGGATATTGCTTAAATGTTTTTTTAATGGTAGAAGATTGTTGTGGTTCTATAATTACTTAAGGAATAAAATCGGAAATAGTGCAAACTCAACCTCTCAAAACATCTTTTTTTATTAAGCAGCTCACTACGAGAGGCGATCAAACACATAAAGATAAAATTAAAAGGTCCACGAGGAGAATTATTGAGAGTAAATTTGTTAAAGTGGGATTGCAGGTTACTATGGAGTTTTTTGTAGCTGGATCTTGCAACTCTATAAGGGGAACATTTAGGTCGTTAAAGCTGGAAACATAGATTATACGGAGAAATAGTTGCCGAATTGTAGGGTCTGGATTCTGCGGAGATTTAGTTTGATTCCGTCAAACCTCATAGTTCTACATGCCTTATGTCAATATTATTTTCAATGGTGATTTTCATCTGAGTATTTATAACCTGCCACCGCGGTACTCATGAGAATTTGCTGTGAGTTTAACATGATTTGGCAGTGGACTGATGATACGGAAGGTTTAGGGCTGGTTGAACTGTAGAAACTTCTATGGCGTCGAGAGTACGGAGAGCACATTATAAAGGGTGGGGCTACTATGGCTTTTGTTGGGACTTTACTGAGAATTCTTGTAGGTAACGAAGTCAAACGAGCTTTCTGGTTGGGTTTTTAAATTGGTATTTGACATCAGAAGGAATAAATGTTTAGGAGGGACAGTTGAAGGTCACAAAAACAGAAGTAGATCCAACGAAACCTCTGTCCCTTCGTTCATCGGTTGATTGTAGTGAAATAAATACAAATATAAAATGCACTAGTTTTCGTGGTCCGCTTGACCAAAGGTGGTCTTTCAATTAATTAAGGTTTTTAGGTGAGAAAAAAAGTCAGTGCCACGAGAGGGATTCGAACCCACGATCTTCGGCTAGATACGCCGCTGCTCTACCATTTGGGCTATCGTGACTTCGATCCACTCGGACATTAACTTCCCATCCCAACCCCACCTTTCGAATTTTCTCTTCTTTAATATTAATCCCTTTAATATTCAAATTAAACGTCAAAAAATTAAATAATCCACATACAATTAGGACTATTGATATAAAATAAAAAAGTAACAACGTTATTTTAAAAGCCAATGAAGGAAATAGTACAGCTGTTGAACACCAAAAATACGTTTCTAAAGTTGAAGAATGCCTAAACAATAACGATTATAACGAAATAAGAAAATCTTGAAATCCTGATCGTTGTGTACAACAAATCTGTGAGTGTAACCATAAATTTCAAAAAGTGAATCTACACATTCACTCCAGCCTCTTTATTTTCTGTTAATTGGGAGAACTGGTCTTTCGGAAAAAAATCAGTCGTGCTAACGTGCAATGTGCAATTCAGCTGCGGACAACTTAAAATAATTATATTATAAATATACACGATTTGTGAACCCTCCAGCACGGCAGATAGTCGCAAAGGGTAAGCCTTTAAACGAGCCAGTTAATTTCTGAACGGAGGAACATTTCAACAAAACTATTTTACTGAAGTTTGACTTGTACAATATGTATAAGGATATAAGAGTATAAGATCTTTAGTAGGGGCAAATTTTCTGTAAGCGCCGATCATCCGTCAGTATTTTCGGAACCAAGAAATTCGAACCTAAACTTACAATAAAAAAAAAATTCATTGACGCAATCAGATTTACAATTTACAATATGATTTATATTTTATGATATATGGGGGCTTTGGGACAAATGAGTGAAAAAATTGAGAAAGGTTGGAAAACTATGGACGATAAGGACTTTTTAGTTTCATTTGAGTTGTAGAATTTTGATGGATATGCACGGGACACCCTGTATTTATTTTTCTTTTTTTTTGGAATTTATTATTTCAAAATGAAAGTCAGAAAAAAGCGAACGTCAGCTGAAGGTTCATCCGGTGACAGAGAGCGATGTAGTAGAACGCTTTCTCCAGGTCTCTTATCGATTGTTTCAGATCAACCTTGAAAAAGGAGTCCGTTTCAGCGTGCAAGATTTATTGTTTTGTGTAAAATTTCATAAAAGGGTGCAATTACTGGCTATTTGCAAATGTGTACTATTATAAGATTATATAGCCCACTTTTCACCTCAGGAAACCAAACAATAAAGAGGAAAGTCTGCCCTCATCTGAGTGGATAAGAAAATGCTTAGAACTTACTTTATGGGGAAACGTTGTCAAAGGACTATGAAATTCGAAAAGTGAAATTTCTGGAATAAAATGGAGAATAAGACTAAAGTGCAGACTACTTGCATGGGACAGCTTGAATACGTCGAAATCTCTGGGCATGGCGTGGTCATCTATTGACCTTTAATAATCCATCATTTGCTTTATCTATATTTTTTGTGGAAAAAATGGTTAGTAGAAATTAACCTTTTCTCTAGATGATATAACTCATACCCGATAATATTTTTAATTATGAAACATAATAATTTTTACTGGCCTTTATGCACTTACATTTAAGGTAGGACAATGGCTGTACGCGTCCTATCATCAAATCTCGGGCCAATTAATTTTTATTTTGTTATTACTAAAGATGTTTAATAATATTTTTATAAATTCTTTTATTAATGTTTCGGAATTAATAAATATCTTTTGTTGTAGTTCACTTAATGTATCCCATTGTACAGAAAGTGAACCGAATAATAATTTTCGACGCACATCTTTCCGAGACTATTGCACAGATGCAGAAAGGTGTTAAATCTATCTCAAATATACAATTCATATGCAAAAATACATATTAAAAAAATATATAACGACTTCGCGTTATTTCAGCTTAAAAGAGAAGGCTAAGAAAAGGTTTCCCTACGCCAAGAACGAGTTACTAACTAGCCAAAATTGATACTATATTAATTAAACTTTGATTAAGGTTTTGGTTGATATAAAAAAGTCAATGACACGAGCGGGATTCGAACACGCGACCTTCGGCTAATTACGACGCCTTTTTGCCATATTTCAGGCAGGAGGAAAAATTCAAAAAGGTGGGGTTGAGATAGGAAGTTAGTGTCCGAGTGGCTAGAAGTCACGATAGCTCAAGTGGTAGAGCAGCGGCGGATTTAGCCGAAGGTCGTGGGTTCGAACCCCTCTCGTGACACTGGGTTTTTTATTCGACCAAAACCTAATTAAAGATTAATTAATTGAAAAGAATTGATTTGGTCAATCGGACCACGAAACCTAATAGATGAAAACTATACTTGTCTATATATTAATATANATTATTGAATAAAATACAAATTTGTATATACTTCTAGCAGTAATGAAGTAAAATGTAAAGGTAAAAGCTAGGTATTCAAAAATCTAGGGTTAATTCGTATTTGAACAAAAGCTATAAAATCTATCTACAACGGTGATTAGGTGTGTGCCGTGTCTAGGTCTTGGTGTATATTGAGTGCATGTCGCTAGTGAAACCTACTTTTGTACATGTGAACAGGCTTTTCGTACTTGGATCCACAGATAAAAAGACATTTCGTTTTAAACGGTTCTTTTCTTTTCTAATATATTATCATGTCAAGAGGACAATTATTATTATTTTTTACATAGATAAATACGTCTATTCAACCACCTAGTTTTAATTTAAAACTGTGTACAAACTATATAGGTCGTGATTAATTATCAAGGCAAGATTAGGCCATAAGTTAGTGTTAAGGTTGGAATTAAGTTTTGCTTGTGCTTTTTTAAAAAATCGTTTTAGTAACAAATAATAAATATATCAGGTTACCATGTATTTGTTGGATGGGAGGTAAATATAATAATAAAAATTGGATTAATTTTATTTTTCAAATAAAATAGCCAATTTGCTTTTTTTATTTTTACTAAATTAAAGTTCAACTTATATAAAAATTTTAATGGCAAACAATAATTATTAATATGTTGACGGATAAAACAACAATGGAATGGGGAACAACGTGAGAAAAAGAAGTGAAAAATAAAATGTAGTTTGTAGTTTTTTTAAATAAAAATAAAATTTCAATCGGATAGAAAATAGACAAAAATCTTCAATTCAAAGTCTGAACAATTAAAAGATAAAGTAGTCTTTCTTATAAAGACGTTTTAACAAGAAGGTAACAAAGACAACGAGATTTGTCTTTGTAAATCTGAACAATCAAAGGGGAAAACATGAAAGAGGAGAAACAGTTAGCAAGGAATGTTCATTACATTTTTTAAATTGAAGTCTGGGCAACATCGACAAAGAGATATTTCGGAAAATAAATAGATTAGTTGTTACGATTTTGAATGAATCATCACCTCGTTTGTTACACTTAATAAACGGAAAAAGGGGAAAAAGTGATGAAAAGATAAAGATTTTTCTTTTCTTTTAATCTTCGTGAGATTCTCAACCGCTCTTGAATAGAAGAATCGCGACTTGTCCGAGATAGAAGTAGATGAAGTGCCTTGTCTCGTGTGTGACGTAGCTGCCGAAGTTTCGACCGACGATGCAGTGCCAGGTCGGGTTGTACTTCTTGTCGAACTCCTTTTTGATAAACGCTGCGATGTCCTGAAACACAGATAAACATAAACCTTTGATACACTTGATACTTAATTAATGCTGACTCATGTGAATTGATATGCTCACTCAACCTTATATAAAGAAATCTGCAGATAGACAAAACACAAAGAGCTTTTCTGTCTATGCAACTGTACTGTCAAAGGGTTTTATTTTGAGATTTTATCTTGCGAAAATTGATCTGTGACTTTAATAGCTGATATCGCCTGTTGTTTTCGGTATTGAAATTTCTAGTGAATGATCAGTCTAGTGAAGTAAACGGCAAAATAAAAATATCGCCGGTATTTTTTGTCTATTATTAATTCATTAATATTAATCTTTTCAAAAAGACAAAACACAACTTTTAAAATATCAAAAAAATGTTTTATGGTGGAAAACGAGGAATGAAAGCAACCTACTGAATAAGACTCCCATTTCTGGACCTTCATTAATCCCTTTTCGGCGTAAGCGACCCATTCAAATTACGGGGCCGTATCAACAGTTGGTTGTGAAGTCTATTAATAAAATAAATCGCGCACCCTTTGGCGGAAATATTCATAGCCGGAGGTGTAGAACCGTTTCATCCTGCTGACTGATCTACGATATAACGAGAAGATTAGGGTTCCACAGCTTTCACATCCACATGTACACCCGGCTCAAGGGGTTCTAAATTTAGACGTCTTTATCGAACGGGGGCTGAAAAAGCTGAACGAAAGAAACGGATAAGGAATATTTCTTTATGATTATTTCTAGCTGCTGAAAAAGAAAACGGTTAACACAAAAGAAATATGTTGATTGTGAGCGTTCAATCGAGCCAGCATAGGTCTGTCTGTCTCTCTCTCTCTCTCTCTCTGTCTCTGTCTCTCTCTCTCTCTCTCTCTCTCTCTCTCTCTCTCTCTCTCTCTCTCTCTCACTCTCTTTTTTTTTACGAGAGTTTGCAACTCGGGGTGCCGGTGTTTTTGAAAAAGAACCCATCTGTAAGTATGTCGGGTTCGAATGCAGGGCTGCTGGATTCGAACCCGGGACCTTTACCTTACAGTGATGAGCGCTGTGTCAACGCCTAAACCGTTGCGGTCACCTTCGCCCCACAGGTCTCCATTAAGTTCATGATGAATTTATCTATTTTTCAAAGATACAGCGTACTGATTGATGCTAACATAAGAGCAAAATAATTTTTTTGCGGATTTTGACACACATGCTAAATTACACGGTGTCTTTTTGTTTTTAACAATAATTTTGACCATTTTCAATTCTGATTTTGTGGAAAAATCAATTTATCTTCCACCTTTCAAATTCGAGTTTGATCTAAATTTGGAACATTAGCCTTCAATTATCAATCCCAATAAAAGCATATAATAAGGTATTGTGTTGTATAGAAATTCGCAAACAAGACTAAATTTACCTTTTCAATATTAAATTTTTCTAAAGCTTGCGTCGCACAATCCACTGCGTCCTGCTGCATCTCTTCGGTCATGTCAGCATTTTTTATAACTGCCTTCCTGTCAGTCATTTTCTGGAACAAAAGAAACAGAAATTTATAGCAAGCAGTAAAACAGATATGGCAGACACAAAGGAGCCGACCATATTCACATGGCTGGAAATTTTGAAAAAGCAGGGAAAGGATTGGCGTCCATCCCTTTTCGGGTACGTTCGGCTTCTCATCATTTTCAACTTTTAATAATAAACTTGGTTAAAACCCACTACTGAATATGGCGTCATTAGTTCCCTGTAATATTACAGACTGTTGTAGACATCGTTCGGACGTTTGACGACGGTGATCGAAACGGTATTGACAGATCAAACAACGGTGAATAGGAATACGAAAACATCTGGAAGAACTACAAGTGCAGACTACTACAATTTTTGGATGAAAAATCGGCAGTAGTGTTTGAATAGGCCAAGGCTAACAAACTGACCATACGCAAATAACGTCTGCGGGTCGGTTTGCCTATAGTTTCGTCGTTTTGAATAATTTTGGTCTGTCTAGTCTCGTTGTTTTGATCTATCAGACGCCATCATCAGAACGGATCAAAATAGCATTAATAGTCAGGTCAAAACGATTGGAAAAAGCTACCAATTAATTTAATAAATAAAAGTACAACGTTTGCAATCAAGGTAAATACATCACTGAACCTTTTTATTTAAATGTGACAATTTATTGTTTTGTTATCCGAAGAAACCACACTTTCTATATTTTCGCTAAAGGACCCGTAGGATTAAAACAAAACATAAAAAGGTCAGAAATTATGCCTCATTGGAAGGATGTCCATTGTTTAAACAATACACTATAAAACGTGTGGGACATACTGGAACAAGAAGGGTTACATAAGTGAATAATTTAAATAAAATGGGAAAGAAGGTTAAGGTTTATGCGTTTTAGGACGGAATAGTACAACAATAGAGAAACTCTTTTTAAACATGTTATGTATCGCTACAAGAATCAATATTAATAGTTCGGAGGTTAAACAAAACAATAAAATTGTACTTTTTTGCCGTATTAGAAGAATGTCATCAATACTCTATAAACAGACGATGAGACATATTGATTACAAATGAATAATTAAAACACAACGTTATACCATGTTATTTTTTGACCTTACTCTTACTGTGGCTAGATACCTCAGAATAAGGAAAAAACATGATTATTGCAAGACATTTTGTTTTAAATTTCAAGTCGCTGGTTAGCCAATTTCATACGAGATTTAGTAAGTAATGAAGTTAATTTTTAACCATTAGGACTAAGCCTGAAAAAGTTACTCTGAAAGAAGGCTTGCAATAAATTTGAACATCTGTGTTGATGGCACTACTCCAAAACTCCCTACGAAATAAATATTAACGAGCCAAGGCGGACCGATGAACTTCGATATTTGTGAAGTTTGGGGTACGACAAATATTAAGGTGGTTTGCAAAATCTACAATGAACAGGAGTGAAGTAGGAAAACAAACATTACGATATAGTGGTATATTATTAACGGTTTACATTCCAGGACATTTTTAAATGGCTGTGAATTGGGTACGAGGCAAATATAAAACCAACTCTTTATGGCAACTGTTAATAAACAGTTTTTAAGAGACCGTTTTGGGCTAAAAAGTGAACAATTTGAACAATAAATTGTCTGGTTTCACCTCGTAACACTGTTATTTATAGGACGCTAACTTGAGACCGTCAAAGGCCTATAAATACACTTGAACAGCTTCAAAGAGAATTAAAATTATTCATGCTTTCGGAAAGATTTCACCCAGAAGGCTGCACACGTATTTCAAGGTTTTCGTACTTTAGCTCGTATCCATATACACACATCCCGCGGATATGAAACGGTCTGGCGATGAATATAAATTATAAAAGAAAGTTTGAAACATCAATTAACGAAACCATCGAGGAAGTTTGGAGTAATTTTATGTTGGAAATTTTATTTATAACAGGACGACGGTAAATTAGAATAATTATCTTTATTTATTTATAACCTAGGTCCTTCCGAAAACAATTTGGTCAGGTTTTTCGAATGCGTCATAAAGTATCGGAATTAAAAAAGGCCAAATATGAAGGACGGCTTTATGGTCTTCCCAAGTCCTTGGGAACTTGACCGAGAAAAACGGCTTATCTCGGCATGAAGTAGCAGGGCGGGGGCTGCGTTTTACAAAGGGGTTGCAAAGTGGCACGGTAACTGTTTGCATTTATCGATCCACCAATGCACGGAATTTAACTATATTTAGCTTGGTGTACGTGCATAAGAAGGATGCAAGGTTATAATCGAAATCTGATATGTATTTTTGATCAACCTCACGGAAGATTTATTTAAATATATAAAATAAAAGTACGTAATTATATAGCTGAGGTTGAAATAATGAAATAGCTGAGCAAAATGCAAAGGTTTTTGGCCAGAATTTAATCTATTATTCAAAACCACCTCAACTTTTACAAAGGTAGTCGACGTAAGATATTCCACGTTGAATACTCTCTTCTAAATAGAATAAAAAAAGTAAAGAATAGATGAAACTAGACTGAATAAAGAGCAGGTGGTTTCAAATAAAACCGATGAAATGCACACGCGTAGTTATCTGGAATCCACGTGATTCATTTAAACCCACACGGGTAACCGAATATGAAACGCGTAACTTGATCGTCAGGTCATTGATTTTGTCAATGCATACGTATTGTGCAGGTAGCACCCGTTTTATACCTACGTAAAATATTGAAAGGGTAAGTTTACGTTTGTGTAGGTCATGGAGTCGGCCAGAATATTTAGGGTTCAATAGTTGAATCGTCATCATCGCTAAACGATATTCTTGAATACCCCAACCCCTTTTTTAGATTATCTCTTGGGGTCTGCAAGGTGATGGGCCTTTAGTTTGGTCTTTTCCAATCACTTTGTTTCATCACTCCACGCTGGCATGTCTTCTATTGTGTTAGGTCGAGAAAGGTAGAAGAAATTATAGCTCCTAAGAAGATACAATTACTTTAAAAAGTATAGTAAATAAAAAAAGTAAAAGTATACAGATTAAGAGATATGTTCCACATAGTATCAACGTACTTATTATGATATTTCTGTGACACACTGTAGATGGCAAACAGACAGTACAAGAAGGACAGGCACAGCAGGGTGTTCAATAAGGACCAAAATCTGTACTCCTTACATAATTTTTTGTTATTGACAATGTTATATTTTTATCGGCACTTCATGTTATAATGTCTCAAAGGTTTTCAAATGGTGTTGATTGTCTCCAATTCGCTATTTTGTTCCCGATGTTTTAAAGAAATGAGTTAGTCTGTACGGTTCTTTTTCTAACATTTAATTTCAGGTTGTAATGTTTAATTTTCGTGTATGTACGGATCTCGGTTTCGAAATTGGCTTATTGGAAGTGAAGTTTCCCGGTGGCAGCATTTTCTTAATTTAGTAATTAGAAATAAATGTGTGGTGATTAGTGACCGTTAATCGATACTTATTTAGAAATAAAGTGGGCATACAGCAAAACTTTCCGTATTGCACAGGTTGAAATTGACGTCCACTTTTAATCGGATAGAAGCTGATCTCTGTTCTAAATAAACTTCACCCCAAAATTAAGTTGGAAAGCATGACTGTAGATGTGGATCAGTAGTTGTCTGCACTAGGACCTAGGAAAATGAGGAAATTGCGTATACTGCGCGATATTGATTTTAATCAGTCTGTCATGGATTCGATGGGATTTTGTGAACCTGTCGATCATTCTCTCTCTCTTTAAATACCTGTTATAGCACCTTGAAATTTCTTACACATAATTTAATGTAAATGTACAGCAAAATTCCCCCTAATTCTCAACCCGATTATTTTAGTTCCACGTTTACACTGAAAACGAGGAAAACGGCAAACTTATCCTAAAGTTACTTTCTTCTACGTCTCCGCACGGTTGACGAGGTCCTGAATCGATTTTCTCGAAGGTGAATTGAAATTTAAGACTTTTCCGGAAAATAACCAACAAACCCACAAACTAATTTATTAATACACAATTAATCTTTTTTATTTAGTCAAAATTTATTTGCGTAGTCGATTTGATACAATGATATAAAACAATGTTTAAAATTCCAATGTTATTAATTTAAACCATATAAAAAAGCCTAAGCTTATGTCGGCTGATAAATATTTTACCAAGGGACTTTTTAGTTTCTTGATTTAAGAAGTATTGTATAAAATTATTTGTTTATCTGCGATGACATCGGTAAGTGTGAGTAATTCTAAAAAGGCCAAAAAGTTGGATGTTTTTATTATGTGTAGACCCAAATTTATTAGACTGATCGAGTTGACCCCGACTAAGCGTAAAATGTTAATATAATATAAGTTTTCAGAATATTTAGTCACACAGTTATTGATTTGTGTATTTGAGCAGGGACTTTTTGGCTGGATGTTTTAAATAAACATATTAAATCACAAATTTATTTGAATAGTCAATTTTATATCCTATTGACAACGTTAAATGTTATTAATTAAAAAGTAAAAAATCATTAAAGTCAGCGAATGAGTTTTTAGCTCCTGCCTTTTGAAGTTTTGAAAATAGATAGTTATTTAACTAGTTGATCAAAGTGTTGTTGTGTTTTAAAAGTGCTATTAAAACTTTAGAAAAGTAATTTTTGGCATTGCAATTAGTGCCTCAGCGATTTTATTTTTATTGGTTAGCTGCATTGGTGTCCACGTGTAAAATATGCGAATAAATATTTCGCCGGGGATTTAAGAGTTTATATTTTGTAATTTGATCCTTGCAGGTCATTTGCCTATTCTTTCTGAGTTGGTCTATCAGAAATGTCTCGGAATTTCGTCATCTTCAGTGTGTCTCTTTCATAATATCGTAGGGGTGGGGTGCGTGTGTCGGCGTTTTTGGTGGATTATGTCGGGTTATTTTGTATGATTATTTGGAGATCGTGAGATGCGGTCTTATGTGATGTAGGTTTAGAAAAACATTCTCTTTATTGTGTCTACGTTTCGATCTTTAGTTAGATCATCCTAGGGCATCTCACGATTTCCAAATAATGATTAATTATCGGTCACTAAATACTACACTCGTTGTTTTAATTGAAAGAGGGTTTTGAATGGCGCAAACGACAAATTTGTATAAGATGGGCACATGTAAATGTGTGTTTTTAGAGTTAAATGTATTTGTATATTTCCAAGTTTCTGAGAATGGTCTTCTTTCGACTTTTTTAAATACGTTATGTAGCAGTTTCATTCTTGTAAATTATTGGGGCTTAGTGATAATTTTCCGACAGAGTTCCTAAACGATCTTGTGTAAAACGATATTTGTAGCCGTATTTTATTTTTGGCCAGTCTATCCGATGCATTTATCTCCGCATTCACAATTTTCCAATTTTGTTCGTGATTCTCAGATTTTGTTCCTAATTTATTTGAGTAGTCGACAACCTGTGTTTACACCGATAAGCGTTGTTAATGTGTTTCGCTAGGGATTTGGCGATGCCCGAGTCGCGTGACCTTGACGCCGAGTCCTTTGCAAGACGGTGACCCCCTTCCACCATTCTGCAGGCAACGTGCATGGTATTGCAAGCGAAAAAGCATTTGTGTCCTGTCTGCTTGCTGATCGAAGGCTGCATCGTAATTTATGCAAAACGACCGAATTGCAATTTGTTGTGAACTAGCGGGAATGTAACATTTAAATATTACATGACACGGATAGACCGTCAATTTCTTAATGATAATAAGAAAATCACCCCAGTTACTTTTTCATAAGAATTTCCATGACTTTGACCAATTAATAAAAAACAAAACGCTATTAAATAATTTGTGTACGAATAGGAGTAAAAGATCTGAAAGGGTCCCTGGACATTCAGGTAATAGAAGCCAAAAAAAGGAGCTAATATGAATCTTCCATGTCCCAAGCCCCTTAGGCTTAGCATCTTGCCACAAAAATTTGGATGGAACTTCTGACAGGGCACTGCCACCTAAGAAGGCACATGCACCGGATAGGAGTACAGACAGAAGAAATACTGTGCAGATACGGCCAGGAAGAAGAGCAAATCACATATGTTTTTGTGAGGGTCTACGTTATATAGACCTATATTCTTGCAAGCAGGAGAGGAAAGCAATGCAAGGATATGGAGTTTGATTGACAATCTGAAGCCGGCCAGAGAGTTATAATATAGAGGATGGAAAAACAGTAGATCTACTCAGATCGGGGGAAGAAGGCCTTGTGACAACCTCTTTTATCCCTATCCTTACTTTTTGCTAAGACTTTCTAACACTTTCACCAAATGATAAAAAAAAAGCAAATCATTGTTAAATAATTTTTATAAGAGTAGGATTTAAAAGGTTTGAAAGATGCTTTTTAACTTGGAAAACATCTCGGGGGCGAATTTTCCGTTCCTAATTGACACATGCTGATGGAAGTATCACTTGATCGATTTCCCCCGTTCTATTTGGGACCGATCCCCCACCCGGGTTAAAACGCCGCTTCTCTTGTGATATTTGTATGATAAATGAACTTGATCAAAACTTCGGATTATTATTATTTTTAAACTTGAAATTTGATTATTTTTTCGTCTGAACCGGGTCATGAGGCGGCGGGGATGCAGCACGCCGCCGAATGCTCGGGGAGGTTGGGCGTGGACCGTTCACTGCTCGGAAAACTCTCCCGCCTACCAGTTGACCACACAAACATAAAAATAATTTACGCATCATGCAAAACTTATGTTAATGGCATAAAACTAAGTCAGAAAAAAGAAAGATAAACTACTTACTAAGCGAAGTGTGCTATAATATGAACCAATTTCTATAGAGATTAATGTGTATGTTAAATGTTATATTTCATAAAAAGATGTTATGCTTTTCATATTATCATAATTATATGAAGAGTCGGTATCACAGGTGTCTCGGTTTTGTCACATGCACTAAATTGATTAAAAAACCATACCTGAACACGATTATATTTAAAAAAAATTCAATAAAACCAAATTTGTTTCGCATAGCAACAAAAAGGGACCACCCGCACCAACACCAAAAAAAAGTGGCACATATGGAGGAAAAACTGGTTAACGCAAGTATTAAAAGTTCGCTTACTGATAAAATATGGCACTGATGTCCTTTCGTCGAGATTCTCCCTTGCCGTGGCCGGTTTTCCGGTGGAAAACTTGGGAAATCGCCGTGAAAACGTTGAGAAAAGCCGGACCAAAATCCGTCGGTTTACGTTGGGAAGAAGAGGCGCGGATTGCCCGAAACCTTGTTCAATAAAGCTTATGAATAGAAGCCGCGTCTCCGGCGAGCCGATTGGCCGGACGGCAGGGTCTTCTATCGGGTCCTGTATCGGCCCAGAATTCTTTGCGCCTTCCCGCCGTTATTTCAAACGACCCTACGCACGGTAGGCGAAAACACGAAAATAATCCTCATTTTTAACTAATTTCCTATAATTAAGCGAACCATTAGGCATTACCACATAGCATTCTGAACCCAATTTTCAGGATGCTACGATAGTTTATTGTCTTAAAAATTGCCATGTTTTAGAGAATTCATATATAAGACGATTCGATGACGACCTCTTATTTTACCCATTGATTATTATTTTTATTTCTTGCAAACTGGACACATTTTAATGAAAATTGGCACATCTTTTGAACTGCAATCTTCCGGACACATTCTAATCTTTATAAGTAGGTCAGGAATGTTATATTAGTAATGAATTAACAGTAGCTGCCATGGATTACCCCAGTGCACATGAGACTTAGCATTTTTAAGTTTTAATACAAATGTCATTGTTTACTTTCAGTTATCGATAATTTATTAACTTGTTTGGTATTTTTACTGTAGATTAAGGACAAAGCTGTATAAAAAAAATCCATATTTAGTGGTCTATTGACCAAATTACTTCTTTCAATTAATTACTCTTTTTATGTAAGGTTTTGGTCGAAATGCAAAAGTTAGTGTCACGAGCGGGATTCGAACCCGAATTCGCCGAAGGTCGTGGGTTCGAATCCCGCTCGTGACACGAACTTTATCATTTCGACTAAAACCTTACATAAAAAGACTTATAAAAAATATTAGATTTTATCTATAATTTTATTTTTGCTGATAGGAAATTTACTTTTGGCGTCTAGTAGCAATCGATTCATAAAACTGTAAATAAAATAAAATAGTCGGCAGAAAAGCTGTCACTTATCAAGAGCAATGTCGATAGATGGCCCTCAGCGGATCTGACTGTAGAAGAGGGGTCATCCCGATTATAGTCCATGGGAGGTTAACACCCGGACTTTTGGGACAAAGTCCGTGTAGAGGGAGGTTGCTCAATGTGTGCCCCTAGTTGAAAGATGCAATTCCTTGGCTCCATATAAGGAACGTGTAGGAATGCCAACTGATGTGAGAATTGTGCTTGAGCAAGGCAGCGAGTGTCTTCTTCTTTGATTCTTGGAGGAAACAGGGTTATTTTATTGCTTATAATTCTGAGTTTTGTGTCCCTAGCGAGTGTTAATGAATGTATTCAATTGCGTGAATGTGTAGAGTAAGAGGACCGATTATGGAATGTTGAGTACACTATCGTACGTCACTTAGGTTATAGGCACAACAAGTGTACAGGGTGAGGGAGGAATATGGAGTATTCCATCCTAACAGATATGGTATGTAAATAGGAAATTAGGACATTTTACGCGGTATTAATTGTTTAAAAAAATTATTGTGTCCAATAAACAAGAGTATGGAATTAAAACCTTTCATTGTTATTTTTCAAAATCCCTTAATTAAATTTTCCTTCTGTAAAAAACATAATAATTTTTAATAAATTTTAATGCAATTTATAATAAAAATAAAATAAAAATGCTAGGGAAAGTAAATACTACAAAATTGGCAATATCCTTCATTTTTGAACAGTTTACATACAAAAGTAAAAAAGCACGAATTGCCAAATGTTACAAAAACGTACAAAACAGTCGCTTCGCAACAAAATGTCTGATATAAGTAAACTCATTTGGACATAAAAAGTTGAACTGTGGGGTTCAACCAATTCTATCATCGCATGCAGACTTCCCAATCCAAAATCTTTCGAAAAATAGTCAACGATCCTTTCTACGTATCTAACCGCACAATCCACAATGACATTAAAATTCCTTTTGTGAAAGATGTCATACAATTCTACAACTCCATTTCATTACACGCAAATCTATTAGATTTAAACCTAACTGCTCGAACTATTTCCAGTATTCCCCAAGGAGATTAAAGCGCAGTGGCCTAGCAACTTCCTGCTGGGCAGCGAGACGTAGCACATAGACCCTACTGATTCTTCGCACACTAGTGCCAGATTTTGTTCTATTTTATTTTACAATTTTAACATATCAAAAGTTTTACTTGTGGTATAAAAAAGCTATTTTTACCATGTTTTCTGGAATAAAAATGTCCAAAAATATGCTAGCTTCAAGTTCAGTCAAATTAGTGCAATATCAGAAATTCCCAATTTGTGTTGGCAAATCGTTGTAAAACCATTAAAATCCCAAAATGTTTTTATTATTTACATTTTATAAACAATACATTGTTTTTCTGACAAAAGTAAAGTTCTCTTTCAAACTACTTATATTTTTTGAATTAGAATTAAACTATTTGACAATAAATGTGTTATAATCCAATGGCCGAAGAATCCTTTTCTTGTTGATAACAACGGTTTACAGGTCAAATGTAAATGTTCGTGGTAAACGTTTGGTAGGAGAGTTTGGAGGAGTATGGCAATGTTTACTGTGATGAATTGGATGAGTTAAGTGAATGTTATCTTCGATGAACACTGCTCAGAAGAGCCGGAGGGAAGTGCAAAGTCATTGTTCACAGGGTCTATCAACTTCCGTCTTTCTACGTGTGTCCCGGGAAAATCCACTCCGCCACCAGAGAAGGGCTAAGAAGGACAAATGGGCACATTTATCATCACAACGTACGCGGACCTTCCTTTTCTACGTCACACTCAGTTCTATTGTTACCTGCGGCGACCGTCCTCGTACAGATGACTTCTTTCAGCTCAGCCCACCGTTATCTCTCTACATTCCTGCCGCACACTTTCTTAGCAATTCTATAAGCAGAAAAGATAAAACAAAATAAAATTTTATAAAGTGAAAAGAAATTTCTTCTCTTGAACATCCATGTGATCGGATTTTGAATGGGAAAATGGTGCTTGTCTAATAGGATAATTTTCACAATGCCTGGATATTAGTTAATATCTCTTTCAACTTAGGTCATGTTAATTATTTTTGATCTGGAAACGGCTTTAGACTGATCATTAAATAAATATTGCGGTTGTTCCACATGCAATATTTGGTTATAACTAAAGAAAATCAAAGTTACACAGGAGGGCTTAACGTCCAACTCCTTGAGGGGTCAAACCACTTTACAAACGTTTTTCATTTTATGTCTAACTAAAATGCCGAGGATTCAAATTTCAAACCTAGAATCGCTAATACAGCAAATACGCTCTCCACTTTTGCTGACGATACAGCAATCATTTCCTCGCATAAGATCCAGTCATTTTCTGCAGTTTCTACTTTCAAAATCATTTTCGGTGGTTCGACGTTTGGCCCAAAAAGTGAAGAATTAAAATAAATGCAACGAACAGCAAATGCTTTAATTTCACAGTCAGACGTATTATGCTACCACCTGTTTACAAACGACGTACTTGGAATCCGCAAGTAAGACTAAAACGGAACGAACTAAAATACGTTACAAACTGGTATTACCACTATTCCATTGACGATCCAAACTTCCACAACAAACCACAAAATACATCCTGGTTCCATTCCGATCAAAAGTCCTAAATAGTCCAACCTCGCCCTACACCGAGAACTTACATTCCCTTTGTTCCAGAAGTAGCGAAAACTTCTTACATAAAATTCCATCAATCCCTTTCCACACATCCCAATGACTTGGTCCGCCAGCTCAGTTCCACAACCATCCCCGTCGACTGAATGCCTATGTCGACGTGTTGCCCTTGTGGTCATCGCTTATTTCTTCTATAGAAGGCTCACCACGGGGTCAGTTCTCGCATGTTTTACATACCAATTTTGTTCTAACAGCATTTTTACCGTTTTAATTGTTTTTAAAGTTGATCGAGGATCTTCTTGTTGATTCCCAAGAAAATATGCATTTACATTCCGGAGACATTCACATTTTTATGAGATTTCTCATGTCGTCTGCTGAGTGATGAACTTGTAATTTGGTTGTTACCGCTCATTTTGATATGCATATTCTTGCTGATTCGATCTGTCAAACGCGTTTCGATATTCAGCATGGGTTCTTGCGTTGCCTCAATCTGCTTGAGGACTCGTATAAAAGAGGTTTCTTAGCCAGATATGTTTTACGAAAAATAAACATAAAGACAAGTGTGACATGAACATAACATAACAAAAATAAACAACTCTCTGAAGACCTTCAACACCAATCAATGACGAACTTCTTATTGAAGTTGTTGAACGAAGTCCCCATCAAACCGTCAGTAAACTTGAAACACATGTTTAATCTAAAAACGTCAGTTTCTAGACAATTAAAAATAATCGGATTTTTTTTATACTAGCAGTACGATTGTTTTGGGTAACATGTAAAATAGGATAGAAAATATATACTGAATTGAAGAAAGGAGTGGTGAAAATACCCATTGGTAGTACTCCAATGATGCTAAAAAGTCTGATGAACGGTGGTTGGGAAGTTTTGAGAAATTTGCGATAAAGGGAGCGGATTTGATGTTGGAGTCTGTATGTGTAGTTTCGTTACATACATAAAATGGAGCGTAAAGGATTGGCGATTAACAAAAAATAACTCTTCGAAAGATATCATCATCATCATTTATGTAGAACGTCCAAAAATATGAGCTGTTTTGGGAATTTGGCGCGACTGTGGAGGTTACATCCGTCTCTTATCGTCTTTTTCCAGTTGCAAACATTTAAAATTTGCCGCAGTTTTGAGTCAGTTTGTCATTCCAAACCAATTTCGATATAGGTTGGCGCCGTGGTGAGTCGCCCTCCTGACCTCCTTGAGGTCTCCCTCCGAGCGGAAATGCGGAGCCAGTCAGTGTCAAGAGTCGATATACAACTTGGTCGTACCAGTCTCCATTCAAACCAAGAACACGAAATAAACCTTTCTAGAAGTTCATTTATTTTTTCAAAAAGATTAACAATAGATCACTTGGAAAATATCGATCTACAAGAAATTCAGGCAGCTTTAATTTTAAATTCCCATTGTGATTAGAATTTAAAAATTAAATAAATTGATATTGTTTTCCAT